TTTATAATTTTCTATTCTGAGGCTATATTTTGTCTTCCAACAAAACATTGAATTTGTATTTCAGCAATCACATTTTTAATTCCCAGGTTCTCTTTTTTATTGCATGTTCTTTTTCATACTATCCCATTCATATTTTATAGCTACACAATATACTCTTTTTCTGAAGGTATTCAGTTTTCATTTTCTTTGTTCTCTGCTTGTGTGTTTCTTTTGAATTTTCCCTCCTCCTTGTTAATGAATTCTTCTTTTTTATTTGTAGGCTTTCAACAAATATGTGGTGATACTTGGCTCTTTTTCATGGATAGTGATTTTTTTGACTGGTGGTCTTCAGTGTAGGTTCATTAAGCGTTTAGCCAAACTGTCACTAGGGTCTTTTAACTGTCAGTATTTGCAGGCAAAAACTTTGTAAAATTATTGCCTGCAGTAACATGAAGACAGAAAACACAGCTAATGCATTCATGGTATTTAGAGAGATTTTGAGGCAGAATTTTGAAAGAACAAACTGGCTGCTATTAACTGTAATTGATAAACTCCTAACAGAAAGAGACAAACTAAATAAGGTGATGGGTATGCAAATGGAATCAAAAGGGAACACAGAGCGTAGGATGTAAGGAAATCACTTCTCATCAAACCAAATGTGTAATCATTAAATACATTAGGACAAAAACCAAGGCCAGCATACTGCTACTACCATGGACTCAACGAAGAGACCAATAAAGGCGTATAGATACACACTCATTTTTTAAGACCTCTGAAAGGATTAAGGAGATGCCTTCCAGCTGAACCAAAGTATACCTAAAGAGATTAAGGGAATGAGAAGCTTAATATGCTCAAGACATACCTATATCAATAAATTAAGACATGGGCATGGCGCTTTGAGCAACTTAGGCTGAACTAGTTAGTGACTGTTTCTCTAACCTCTTATGAGTAGTCTTCCACATATTTACTTCCCCAACAACTCCCATATTTGGGTGAATCCTAATTATTTTACTTTTTTATTTTTACTTAATTTATTTTTGTTACAGATGTTTCTCCTTTCTCCCAGACACCCTCCTCCTGATCCCCGCCCCCAGCATTGTTGCTATGTCCACTGGTTACACATACATGCATATAAGTTCTTTGAATCCTAATTCTTTATTAAGCCTCTTCATTCATGTAATACTTGTAATGAATCTGCTTTCCTCACCAAATCCAGACTAAACCACCTGGCTTCCCTAAAAGAGTTTGAGGCAAAAAATAAGTCTATTATTGTATTTGAGGGTACAAATCCAGGCTGGGAAGAGTGAGGAAGAAAGAAAGGCTAGCACGGATGGGAGGCAAATGAGAACTGATAAATTACTACACAGCACTTGATTTGTTTCATGAAAAGCCATAAAAAGACACTGCCAAACACTTGCCAAGTACACTTGCTTAGCCACATGGTACATCTCTGGACAAAAGGGTAAAAAACTGTGCCTTAAAACAGTTCATCAAAAGAAAGGATAGGAATTGATCTGACAGTTTGCATCATCTAGCCCTTTTGAAAGTCACTGAGGAAAGTCTGAGGCATGGTGCTTCCTTGAGTCCACAGTGTTGGGAGGGATTCTGAGCATGTGGCTAGTTGACCTCAGGCAGAGGAATCACACAAGCCTGCCAGCAGTGTCACTCTGTAGGGTTGTAGCTATGGCAAAGCAAGTCACTGATAGCGTAGTAAACAGCGAGGCCAAGAATCTGAGAAGGTGCTTAAGGAAGATGTGTCTGATACTATATCCAAGGATGAGATATGTATTGGCACAATAATACTGTATAATAAACAGCTATACAACTTCAGTGGCATAACACAGACATTCCTTGCTCACACACTTGCAATGGGTAGGTGTCAGGGTAACCTGGCTCTGTTCCACAGGTGTCTCACCCTCCAGCAGGCTAACCCAGGCATGCACGTGCTTATGTCAACAGAAACACGAGAGTAAGTGGAAATACGCTAGATGTTTGGAAATACATATGGCCCAGAATCAGAGAGGGTACTTCAAAGGAGCATGAAAAAGGACCATGAATACAAGGAAAAGTCAAGAACTAGGGTAATTTATGCAGTCTATTATACCAAAGAAAAATAAGACAATTACAACCAATTCATTGTTCTAACAGGTATTATTATCATTTTGGGGGCAAGAACTTGAGATTTATCTAGCTTTAGTTGTAAATTAGGCCCTTATGAAGAATGTGGGTCATTTTTTTTTTTTTAGTATAGTTGGTATATATGTTATATTAGTTCCAGGTATATAATATAGTGATTCAATATTTTTATACCTAAAAATGTGATCACTCCACTAATTCTAGGAATTATCTATCATCATTTCAACTTCTCACAATTCTATGGACTGTATTTCCCTTCACCTTTTTTCACCCACCCCTGCCTCCCTAGCCCTCTCCCCTGGCAACCACGCCTTTGATCTCTGTTTCTATGTGGGTCATCTTTCTTATACCAAATGGGGGAAAATGAGTGATAGAATTGATCTTTGTTGGTCCTCCCCGCTTTCTCGTAACAGCTATGTTAGTTGTTTACAGAGCCATTTAAATGGCAATATATTTTGGCCCAGAAAAGGCCAAATTTAGCCCAGAGAAATCCAACTTTGGCTTGCTTTAATCAATCAAGGCCTTCCTCTGTTCCCAGTGCTAAGTTCTAAATATGAAGAAATCCATTTTAATTCCATTCTTGTAAAATAACTGCTAAATAAACAAGCCAGTTTATTGGGCTAAGACTATAGGGTTAATACTGTCCAGACCTTATATAATCTACATTCTTTTTCACGAATATCATAATTAAGTGGTGAACCCACTGAACCAATCAGAAGTCCCAGATTCTAAACCAACTTCTATCACTAACTAGTTTTGAGATCTGTGAGCAAGTTAGTTAATCTCCTTAGGCCTCAGTTTCCACATTTATATACAATCAGGGATCACTATATATTACAATATTCCAAATGTCCTACTTTTACAGGATGTTAGTACCTATTACTTATTCAATTAAGTTTAAGAAATACTAGCCTAAATAAAGTTCTAAATGTTTATTTCAGGACTTTTTAGCAAGCGCTTTTATGCTGTGCCTTTTGAATCTCTAAGAGAATACCATGTGCAGCAAACAAATTTTGCCATTAACTCATTTTTTCATGAAACGTGCCCCTCTGAGTATACTTTTGGGAAGTTCACTGCTATTTCTAGCATCCACATGGGTAAATTTATCAGTCAAGTTCCCGGAAAGAAACAGACGTGGACATTTATATGAAGGAATATGATGAAATGACTACTTACAAAGGTATAGGTAGGATCAGGAAACCAATAAGAGTTAATGAACTACCCTGGGGCTAGTAACACCCAGGAGACATTACTACCCCTAAGTGAAAGGGGGGACAGGGAGGGACCTGAAATGAGAGAGGATAAATGGATAACTGCTTGGAAAGGGATGCCTGATAGAAGGGCCTTTAGCAGAAGGACACAGACAATCTATGGTGACCTGGCTGGAAAGGGGGCAGGGGAAATGAATACAATTTCATTTGCTTTTCAACCTCCAATCTCCTGCTAGTGCTTCTCATTTGTTGAAACCAGCCAAAAGCCAGAAGGCAAGGGAACCTACCCAATAGAAGGGAGAGAATGGAAGAGTGGAGGGTGGATCCAGAGGGGCAAACAAGCTATGCAGCACAGAGCTCCATTCACAAGCAGCTAGATTAGGTGATGGAACGATGGCCTCAGGACTGTCTTTTGATCTCTCCCCTCTGCTTTCCTTTGTTGGCTTCCTCCTAAGGCAGGCTCTTGCCAACTGGAATACACATGCCAGCAGGAGCTCTAAGGTTATTTCATTTAGTTTACCCATCCAAATAAAATAATAAATATATATATACAAAAATACACACAGCTCTTACTGTATGCTAGGTGCAGTTGAGAGCCATTTTAGATACATTAAGTCAGTTAATCTTCATAATTATCCTTTAAGGTAGCTTACTGTATTACCCTATCTTTAGAGATAAAGTAACTGACAGGACTGGTAAGTGCAAAGGAAAAGCTGAGATCTAGATTTAGATAGTCTAGTTCTAGGGTCTGTGATTTTAACCACTGCACCACAGTGCTTCTTGAAAAACAAGCCCTATCTGATGCAGTATCCATACCACTTATCAGAAAGGATGTTGAGTCATGTGCTCGTCACTGAATCGATCACTGGGCACTCTGCTGGCTCAACTGAACCATGTGTCCATTCCAATGACAGGCCCTATGACTGCTAGCTATTTCTTCCTAAAGATGCCAACCCTGGCCAGTGTGGCTCAGTTGGTTAGAGCATCATACTGTAAACCGAAAGGTTGTGGGTTCGATTCCTGGTCAGGGTACATACCTAAATTGAAGGTTCAATCCCCAGTCGGGGTGCATACAGGAAGCAATGGGTCGATGTTTCTCTCTCACATCAATGTTTCTCTCTAAAAAAAAAAAAAAAAAAAATCAGTAAACATATCCTCAGATGAGGATTAAAAAAAGAATTATCAGGTTTATAAAAGGATGCCAGTACAAAGCAACAAACTGTACGTAGTGTGGACTTAAAAAAATAGACCTAGGTACTAGAGCTACAATTCTGCTCATGTTTGCCATTAACCTCCAGCAAATTACCTGTCATTGTCAGCAAGGAGATTCTGATCCCATCTACCTCCAAACATGGTAGTGAGTATAGGTGGAAAGACATGAAGATCTCTAAACAAATATCTAAATATATCTCATTGCACAGATATAAATATGACACATTATTATATTAAAATACAGTAGTAAAATGGAGATCCAAACTTGAGCTAATTTTTCAATCAACACTCTGAAAATTCCTACAAATAACTTCCTTTTTAAAAAATATGAGGTGAAATAAATGAAGGCTTATTTTTTAAAGTGGTGTTGCAGACATTACACATGAATTATTTCCTAAGAATAAACAAAGCACAATTACAAGTTTATTGATTTTAGCAAAATAAAATGACATAAATGGCTTCTTAAAAACTAATGAGCAATTTTTCTTGTTTCCTTGTCTCCAGAGCGTTTGGCATTCTTCACCAACTGGTACATAAAAGAGTAGAAAAATAAAAGATTGTCATATTGTCCTTTGTATTTCTCTTGTAATACATCAGTATGGTAGTCTACCAGAAAGTAGTAGATGGCTTCGATTGTGGAAAGGAAGGTATCTGGCTTTCCTTTTTGATGGCGCCAAAAGCAAGTTTTTCTTGCTTTCAACTCAACTTGTAACAACCCTGCCAAAAACAAAAAAAAAGTATAAATATATATATACATATTTTTTTTATTCTCAACCAAAGATGTTTATTGATTTTAGAGAGACAGGACGGGGGGGAGGGAGGGAGGAATACTGATGTGAGAGAAACATCGATCGGTTGCCTCCATATGCACCTCAACCATAGATCAAACCCACAACCTAGCACCCTGACTGGGAAGGAAACTGAAAACCTTTTTGGTGTATGGAACAACTTTCCAACCAACTGAGTCACCTGGCCAGGGCTAAATATTTTTTAACCACAGGGTGTGATACAATAATGATGATTTCCTTAATTAGGGATTGTTTTTAAAGAGCACAGATAAATTCTCTTGATCCCAATTTAAAATAATATATTTCCTTAAATGCATTAAGGTATATAAGAAGAAATATAAAACACAGAATGAAATCTTACACATGACAGTTACCTATAAGTCTTGGACCTTGTAGCAATAAGTGAAAGTAGTTAACATTTAAGAGATTCATCTCTTTCTAATACCTACCAATGTCTTTTATTTAAACCTGTGATAAACTTTTATTTAAACATGGATAAACTTTAGAAACAATAAGAGTCCCAAGAAAATAACATACAGGTCAAAATAAAGCAAAATTAAATAACATCAAGTTTATGAAAATAGGTGTACATAATAAAACTTCAATCTAAACAAGCAAAAGAATGATAAACATAATTCAGGAGAAGAATAAACTGTGTGGGGAAAAGGGGAATGGCAGAGGGGAGGAGAACACAGATGCAATTTATTGATGCAGTTCTGATGTCTGGGTTCTTAACTTATCATTACATCATTATGTGCTATGATTCAGTGTTGTATGTATGGTCTCGTCTATGTATCACAATTTAATTTTAAAAGTAACATTAAAAAAAACAACTTTGCCAATTTAGTGGCAGAATTGGGGCTAGAAGTCGGATTCTAGCCCTTTTTTAAAAAAATTAACTTATTTTTGTTACAGATGTTTCTCCCTTTTCCCCCCTTGACACCCTTTTCTTTCCCGCCCCTCTCCCCCACAGCATTGTTGTCTATGTCCATTGGTTATGCTTATATACGTAAGTTCTTTGGTTTATCTCACCCCCGCCCCTCTTTTAGTTTTCATTAGATTTAAAACACAAGTATAATCATGTCAATGTCGGGCTTTACTTTTTTTTTTTAACCTCACCCGAGGATATTTTTTCCATTTTTTTGTTCAGATAGAGTGGGAGGGAGAGAGAGGAAAAGAGAGAGAAACATCGATGTGAAAGGGACACATCGAGTGGCTGCCACCCGCACAACCCAACCAGGGCCTGGGACAAACTGCAACCAAGGTATGTGCCATTAGCAGGAACCGAACCTGGGTCTCTCTGGACCACAGGCCGACGCTCTAACCACTGAGCCAAATTGTCCAGGGCAGGCTTTAAATTCTTTAACGATGCCACAGCACACATGGATAAAAGATCAGATTCCCAGGTATGACATTCAAGAGCATTCATAATTTGAATTTCTTTCGTTTGTTTCCCTACCATACCCATATATGTATGCATTCAACACCATACTCAACTTTTTCAATCTTCTGGAGTTAAAATATTTTTATTTCCTTTGTCTCAAATGCCCTCCTCCCCCACCCTTATCTATCAATATTTCAACAGAGACAGTGAATCCTTCCAGGGACTCCAGGGGCAGAAATGGGTTTAATGCTATCACAAAACTGATTAGACTTTCTTATCTGCTTACTTGTCTGCCTCTCATAATAGATTATATGACAATGTCCACTGTCTTCTCAATATTCACTTTCTTCTCTCTTATTCACAAATCTCAATCCTGTTCAGTGTGTGTCTAGCTAAAAAACAATTTTCCAACTTTCTTTACAGCCAGGGTGGTCATGTGAACCAGTTCTGGCCAAAGAAAGGAAAAATAAAATCTCTCAGGTGGAATTTCCAGGAAAGCTGTGTATGTTTTTCTTTTTTAAATAAACAAGTCAGACTCATACATGACTTTATACAATATTGTCACAGACATATTGCCCTTTGTCTCTCCTGCAATATATATGCAATGCATCAGGGACTAGCAGCCATCTCACAAGCATGAGGATGAAAGTGATGGAGGAGAATAAGGGTCTGAGTCCTCAGGGGCATTGTGAAGTCCCTGTACCAGCCCTGCATTACCCAGTCTAGGCTTTATATGTAAAAAGTAAACCCACTACTTGTTTTAAGATTCTAGCTGGGCTTCTGTTTCATGCAGTTGAACACTACCCTAACTAATAGCTACTGTGGTCAACCACAGGTAGAGATATTGCTTTATCCTCCTTTATAGCTCTCAAATCTAAACCACTTCCTGTCCAGAAGCAGGTGTTCAACAAATATTACTAATTGAATGAATAAATCACAAAAGCCAACTCCCTTTAAAGTATTCTAAGTATTTTGAAAATATTTCAACTTGAATAATTTTGATTCAAAGATATACAGAAGTTAAAACAACCAAAATCAAACCCTTTAAACTATTTGTATTGAAGTCATTATAACCAAGAAGTAAAAGTAGACATTTCAAAATGTTCTAAGTGCTCTGGCCAGTGTTGCTCAGTGGTTAGAGTGTTGGCCCAGGCACTAGAAAGTTGCAGGTTCGATTCCGGTCAAGGACACGTACCTGGGTTTCAGGTTTGATCCCTGGTCCAAGTTGGGGTGTGTATGGGAGGCAAGCAACCAGTCGATGTGTCTCTCTTACATCAATGTTTCCCTCACTCTCTCTCTCTCTGTCTCCCCCACCCTACTCCCTTCCACTCTCTCTAAAAATTAATGGAAAAAATATCCTCCAGTGACGATTAACAACAACAACAAATGTTCTAAGTAATTAGTACATTTAAAATCTATGTGCCCTGGCCGGTTTGGCTCAGTGGTTAGAGCGTCGGCCTGCGGTCCTGAGAGACCCGAGTTTGGTTCCCGCTAAGGGCACGTACCTCGGTTGCAGTTTGTTCCCGGCCCTGGTCGGTCATGCGGGTGGCAGCCACTCGATGTGTTCCTTTCACATCGATGTCTCTCTCTCTCTCTCTGTTTCTCTCTCTCCCTCCCACTCTACCTGAACAAAAAAATGGGAAAATGTCCTCGGGTGAGGATAAAAAAAAAAAAAAAAAAAATCTACATTAAAAATCTATGTTAAAATCTTAACATAGATGGGGGAGTGGGGAACACTTTGTAAAGTATATGATTGACTAACCACTACGCTGTACAGCTGAAGCTAATACAAAAAAATGAATGTAAACTGTAATTGAAAAATAAAAAGAAAAAATCTTAACATTGGATTTTGACAACATCAATGTAATTTCTAAAAAGAAAGAAACTAAGAGCAACTACTGTAATAATGCTAGTTTCTATAATATATCTAATATGTTCTAAAATGTTAAATATAGCCCTGGCCAGTTTGGCTCAGCGGTTAGAGCATTAACCTGCAGTCTGGAGAGACCCGGGTTCGGTTCCTGCTAAGGGCATGTACCTCGGTTGCAGTTTGTCCCTGGCCCTCATTGGGTCGTGTGGGTGGCAACCACTCGATGTGTCCCTTTCACGTCGATGTTTTTCTCTCTCTCTCCCTCCCTCCCTCTTCAATATCTGAACAAAATATTGAAGAATGTCCTTGGGTGAGGATAAAAAAAAAAAATGTTAAATATAAAAACCAAGATTTAGTGACTAACACTACTAATCTTTCTTGTTTTAAAGATTTCCTTGGAAGTATAGTTATATAGAACTTTTTAAACCACACTGAAATACACAGACATGGGATTAAATAGAAAATTAATATTTATTTTTAAAATTTCAACATACATTTAAACAATTTTCTTGCTAGTACTTCTGGAGATCAATAGCTTTAAGATAAAATCACAAACATTTTTAGCAGTCAATTTTTAACAGGTAATTATAAATGGCTTTTCTCTGCAAAATTATTGCCTAATTTTCTTCAACTGAAAAATGAGAATGAAAATCATGCTGCTGTGAGGAATGAATGAGGTAGTATACGATGAGCCCTCAAAGACACACTAAGTATATATTTGTTTAGGAAATGCTTATAATGTAAACAAATCTGTCAAAATGAAGGGATAGAGTGGGCTAATTTTTAAAACAAATTACAATATAATTCCCATTTTAATAATATGGACACCCTCCCAACAAAAAGAAAACCATCCTTCCCCACTGCCCCCCCCCCCAAACTTTCCTGTGGTGAATCTTCAAGAATGTTATATCACTCTTCACTTGTAGGTTTATGATTGTGTTAGACATTCAACCTTTAAATGTTTTATTTTGACAGTAGTAAAACATCAGAGCTACTTCTCTGTAAAGTCTGGCAAAATGGTATGTTTTTACATTGTTAATAAGATTCTTAACCTCAGCATTCACAGTAAGATAACAGAAACATAATTTTTAATACATTATATTCTGTGACTTCAGCTTGGTACTAAGTCACAGAAGTCAGATTCTAAAAAGTGTCATAAGCTTTCTTTTCTAAATAATGTACCCTTTAAACAATAGCCTGGCAGCAGCTCTTCCCGGTTGAAACTGTCTTGGCAACTGCCTAGTAGCAAGTAGGTAGTTCTCTTGCCTTATGATCATGTACAGTACACGAATAAAGCCATCAAAAAGCTGGAAATAAAACTAAAGCTTTTAGATAAACTGAGAAAACCTGAAGAACTGACTATGGTGCAAGGGAACATGAGAGTTAATGTGAGCTCCTTTTCTTCATATTACTAGTTATAGTACTTGGGAAAGTAAAGCAACTCTTTTAAGCCATTATTATTAGGAACTAAGCTTTTCACTGTAAGAGGAAAGGATACGTAGACATAAAGCAAAAGAAAAAATCCCTGTAATGTTAAAGCTGCATTGGAACCATTCATGTGATTTCTCTCTCTCTGTCTACACACACACACACGCACGCACTTCTTCTTCTTGGCTCTGTCCATTGAAGCAACGACATCCAAATAGTTATACATTTACCAGCTCTTGGTTTCTAATATCATTCCCCATTAAAAAGAACCACAACTCCTTTAACTGACTGGTCCTTGGTCTGGGGCAGAAGAAAAGAATACGTAAACTTCGAATGATTGACGCTAGGTCTGAGGAAGGAACAAGTGCTGTACCAGAAAGACTAATGAGGTCATGCCACAAAGGACCTGAAGGGCTCCCACTGGCAAAATTTGAGACAATTTGGGAATCAAAAATATATATATAATCATGATAGATTATAATATATTGAATTAAAAAGACATCTATCAGACCACAGTGATCTCATAAACGGTAGGGGTAGGGGGAGAGGACAAAGGAAGAGGGGAAAAAGGAAAGGCATTTCTTTACATAAGAATGCCAGCTAACATATGTTAAAGAAATAATAAAATTTCATAATTTTGCATTCTCAATATAGTTACTGATTTAGAAGAGTCATCAAGGAATGCTAAAATGTCTGTGTGAAAGCAGTTGGTAAATAGACAGTCCATAGCCTCAAAGCGTCTCCCCACAGATTACTATTAATTTCTAAGAAGATAAAACTTTAACTAAGTATTCAAAATTAATCACCTTTTTTTTATCCTCACCTGAGGACATTTTTGCATTTATCTTCAGACACAGCGGGAGGAGGAGAGGGAGGAAAAGAGAGAGAGAGGAACTTCAACATAAGGGAGACACTCTAGGCTGCCACCCACACAACCCCAACTGGGGCCGGGGACAAACCCCAACCAAGGTACGTGCCCTTAGTGGGAACTGAATCCAGGACTCTCTGGTCCACAGGCCGACACTCTAACCACGGAGCCAAACCAGCCAGGGTGAAAATTAATCACCTTTAACCAAGTATTGACAATTATCACTAATAATGGAACTTACATTATATACCTCCTATTTTGATGCAATAAATAATTTCACCGATGAATAAAGTAATCACATAATTTATGAGCTAAACAGCTTCATTTCTGAGAATAAAAAGGAGTGCTATTAATAATTATACCAAAACAAGATATAAACTGGTATTGTCATGGACAACCCTGGATTTATCCTTATCTGTAAGGATTCTTGCAAAAATATTTAAACTGAATCTAATCATGATTAAACATTCAGACAACTGACCTGTCTGCTTCACACAAAGTATAAGTCATGAAAAGCAAAATCAGGGAACTGTTCTACATTAAAAGAGACTGGAAAGACATGGCCAAATAGAATGTGAGTTTACACACTACATCAGAGGGTAAAAAAGCTACAGAAGATATTTTTGGGTCAATTAGGGAAAAGTGAATTTGGACTATGTATTAGACATTACAGAACTTCTGTTAATTTTCTTAAAATGATAATGGTATTACGATCATGCAATTATTTTCTTACAAGATATATACAGGTATTTAAGGGTGAAGTGTTGTAAAGTCTACATCTTCCTTTCAAAAGGTTCAAACAAAAAATATATATATACATCTAAGTATACATACTCACATATAATAGAGAAAGAGAAATAAAGCAAAAGTGGTAAGATGTATGAGTAGTTAATGTAATTCTTCAAATGTACCTGGAGGTTTGAAGTTTTATGAAAGGAAAGTTGGGAGAAGGAGCAATATACAAATAATTTTTTTTCTTACCTTGAAGTCTCTCATCAGTAAATATTTTGTTTGTTTGGTTCCAGGTGCTATCTATAAATATAATTCTTTTCAGAGTTGCCTCTTTGCACTTGCTGTCACTCAAATCTTGTTCCTCAGTTTTCTTGCGTTTAACAGATGGCTTGTCAGGGTCATCACTTTTGTCTCTAATGTTATTTTGAATCCTTTTTTGCAGATGAAGAGAAATATCTTTTATTGAGACAGACTTAGGTCCAGGAAAAACTAGCGCAACCTACAGCAAAGAAACTTAAGTTATACAATGTGCAATTATGATCTTCAAAATGAATATGTTCTGACCAGCTTAAAACTTTAAGAGAAAAAATATATTGACTACCAAAGAAACAAGCATTAGATTCTACTACATCCGCTTCTTTAACATGTATGATAAAGTTTTGGGCTCTTCCCAAGTAATTTATAATCATAATATACTACCTAAAAGTTTTATTTCAAAATAAGTTATTCACCTGTGGATAGAAGCCAAGTTAACTGTACATTGAAAAGGAAAACAAAACTTTATAATATTTCATAAGATCAGAGGCAAAGTGTGTGATGTTTTGTAAAAGAACCATTAAAAAGTGCTCAGTAATGAAATATCATTTTCACCTTTGTTTATTACATAATAAACAAAGACAAAACAAATGATACACAGCCATTGCTGGTAAGGAAATTGTGCAATGGGCCTTTATAGCCATTAATCATGGCAGGTTTAAATAGTACAACTCTTAGTGAAAACATTTTGGCAACTTAAATCAAGACTCTTGAAGTGTTCATGCCCTTTGGTCAAATAATTTCCCTTAAGGGCATTTACTTTAATAAAAAAAAATCCTAAATACCCGTATACTCACCACACCCATAATATTTGTCAAAGTATATCTATTACAGTGAAAAAATTAAGACTGAAAAATCTAACTTTCAAGGAATAATTCTGTAAATTATGGTACTTTCTTTCTTTCAGCATTTTACTGACATATTACATACTACTAGAGCCTCCAATGTCTGAATGGCTCCTGTCATGAAGCAGGCGCCCAGTAAATATTTGTGAAATGAATAAACGTTGGTAGAATAATGAGTATTTTATTCCACATACTTTTCTGTATTTTTCAAATTTTCTTTAATGAGCATCATTTTTAATATGAAAAATAAGTATTATAAAAATAAACAAAAAATCTTGAATTTATAAACTTCAAAGTTATACAAATTACTTAGATATTCACAATGCATTGCCAACATTCTCCCTGCATTCAAATTACCCAAGTCTAGGGTTTCTAAATTGTGTTGGATTATGAGCATATCACCACTCTTTATTGAACCTAGCACTGTGTTCTATTTAATTAATATAAATGATACCTAGCTGACCTTAAAAGGAAATGAAAATATATTCCTAGATCCAAAACTCAAGATATTATTTACAAACACAACTTTCTATATAAACTCAATAAAAAGCACACTGATAGAAAAGGAAAAATGAAGTTCTTTCTAGAACAAATAAGTATATAGTAGAACCTTGGTTCTTGAACTTAATTTGTTCCAGAAGGCTGTTTGAAAAGGGATTTGTTTAGAAAACTGAATCATTTTTTCCCATTAAAAATATTATAAATTGAATTAATCCATTTCAGACCCCCAAATGATTCCATTTTAACCTTTCTTATGTACAGTACATGTCCAAGCTCTATACTTCTCACAACTTTCCTTTTTACTTTGCTGCTATAACTAACCTTCTTAGGACCCATGGTGACTTACTGCATGTATCTAATAATCAGCAGTAACAAAAACCAACCCAAAAAACCTATGCAAATATTCACAGTACAATTTCCTGAGATGATAACAACTTGAGGTTTAGTGGTAAACTGACTCATACTGGCGTATTCTCTTTTTTGTCGCCTGAGGGACAAGCATGAAAGTGAGGCTGGATCAAAAATTAAAGGTTTTTGCGACAACCTAGACATTTTTCCCTGTGAACAACTTGGTCGAGAACCAAAATGTTCGAGACAGGAGATGTTTGAGATCTGAGGTTTGATTGTATTAATTTTTAATTTTGTTCCTGATTAATACCACCAATAAATGATCCCCAATACACCTAAAAAGGTTTACAAGTTTCTTTAAGAAGTACCAAATGCCTACCTCTTTTTGAAATCTATTGCAACATTACTTTTCAATAAGGCCAGTAATATCTCACCAACATGAAATTTCAACTATGTGACCACCAATTAAGAATCTAGAAATGGCCCTGACTGGTTTGGCTCAGCAGTTAGAGCATCAGCCCATCGACTGAGGGTCTCAAGTTCAATTCCGGTAGAGGGCATGTGCATCGGTTGCAGGTCCAATCCCCAGCCTGAGTCCAGGGTCGTGTGAGAGGCAACCAATTGGTGTGTCTCTCTCACATTAATGTTTCTCTCTCTCTCCCTTCCACTCTATCTAAATATCAATGGAAAAATATTCGCAGATGAAGATTAATAACAACAACAAAAAAATAATCTAGAAATGAGCAAGGCAGGTCTCTCCGCAGGCAAAAGAAATGTTAGGAAGGCCATATTCTAAAGTTCTTAATTTAGGAAGCATTCCTGAAAATCCTTTTAATTCAGTCTTTCTTTTCTTCTTTTGGAGAAATTCCAACGTTTGTCATCTTGTTTCTTAGTTCACATCAAATTAGACCATCTATGTATAGTGTAGGCAGGAAAATAAAGAGGGGAGAAAGTAAAAGCAGGCATAATAATATTGGCAAAGTGTAAAAACTTAAATAATGCAGAAAAATGATAAAAAGTAGAAAGACTCAAAATCCTAACAAATCTAGGATGGTCTGATTTTTTTCAGACACCAATAAAGTATATGTTGTTTAGTGCTATATAAGGATAACCCTAGGTCATTAAAAAATATATGAAATTGTGTTCAAGTAAGTTCAGAAAAGCACTGGAGTTTAAAATTCATTTTTATATTCAATGTGAAGAGTTGTTCAAAATAAGCTGCCTACTTCATGGTCCTTTTCTTCATATTCCGGAATACAAGGGTACGTGTAAATATTTACAAATTCAGGTGCTAAGAGTTTTGCGTGTATAGCAGTACTTTTGCCATCTGTTTCATTTGGATGTTTAATGATGTCAATCTTCAGTGGAAGCTAAAATTAAAAAAAAAAAAAAAAGACAAGTGAACAAATTTAAAAATTCTAATTTTTATGTTAATAAAAAATGGTCTTTAAAGCTTAAATAGCAAGCTTCACACTACATCCCTATAAATATACTTATGGTTTGAAAATCATATATCCCTACACTAGGATATTAAGAATGATGAGTCATAAAGCAAATCCACATCTCTTCCTAGATACTGTTAATCATATGATAGAACAACTATTTTAACTCATTTAACATAGAATCTGCTCTTAAAGTAAAACTCCAGCCCAGCCGGTGTGGCTCAGTGGTTGAGCATTGACCCCAAGCATTAAGAGGTTACCAGTTAGATTCCCAGTCAGGGCACATGCCCAGGTTGTGGGCCTGATTCCCAATGGGGGGCATGCAGGAGACAGCCGATCGATGTTTTCTCTCACTGATGTTTCTGTCCCTCTCCCTCTCCCTTCCTCTCTTTCTCTAATATCAATAAAGAAAAAAAAAAAGCAAAGCTCCAATGTCATTTTCATTTAAGTTAAAAAGCAATTGAGTCCAACTCACTGCATTTCAGTATCTGTGTCAAGAGTATTTTTTATAATTCCTATAAACTTCAGATCTCTTCATTTTATGTTACATAAAAGGAAATAAAAGTTTGGGCAAAGTTTCAGATCTAAAATTCAAGTTAAAATTTTGTTCCTTATACACCCTTGGAGGTCAAAGGTATTATCCTTAGTTGTGAACATCATCATTCTCAGAAGTGTCCTTTAACAGCACAAATGAAATAATTATCAGTTGAAGAAAACAGTAATAGAATAGGTCTAGAAGGTGCACTCTATGTGTAAAAAATAACTCTCTTCAAAATCATTTTGCTTATTTCCCTTGAAGTTTAATTTTTTACTATGGATTATGTCCTTTCTCTATGGAAAACTAGTATTATCTTGTATTTCTTGAGTGAGATTTTTCTATTATTTCCCTGACTTGTTTGGTTTAGTTTTCTGTAAAATGCCTGTGCAAGTCCTGCCTTCAGCCATTAGTGTGAAAATGAAAGCCGAGTCATATCTTCCCCACTATACATAAGAAACTCTCTGAGACGGACTCTTCATTGCAGGTTTCACAGGACTTATTTGTTATGACAGGCACTTTTCCAGCTCCTGTCCTACACCAAACAGGCAGAATTCTAGGTATTTACCCTGAGCACACAGCTATTGTACCCTGGAATACAAAACTATTTTTTTAAACAGCTTTATCAAAGGGAAGAAATTGATACAATTAACTGCACATATTTATAGTGTACAATCTAATGAGTTTTAACATATTACACCCTTGAACTCACTACCTCAATCAAGATGATGAACATACCCAACACCCCTCCTTCTCCTTGCCCCATCAACTACCACCCACAATCCTTAAGCAACCACTGATCTGCTATCACTATAGATTAGTTTGCACTTTCTTGATTTCTATATAAAAGAAATTGTACATTATGTATTCTTTTCATCTAACTTCCTTCACAAAATAATTATTCTGAGATTCATCCATGCTGCTGTGTGTATAATTCCAGAACTAGTTTTTTAAGGAGCAGTTGGTGCATGCTACTAAATGATCTCAAGTGTGTATATTTTATCTTTCGGGATGATTATATGAAAAGAAGACAGTATATACCCCAGAAGGGCCATAAATATGTTTCCCAAATAGTTTGCAATTTAGGGTTTCAGGCCCCATGTCTCCTACTGTCCCCACTTAGGCCTAGTGATTATTTATAAGTTAGGGCCAACTGTTTCAAATCATCAAAGCAACTTCTAGTTATAGAAAATTTACCATTTGTGTAGGCAGTTCACAAATGATTTTACATCAGTCTACTTCTGGCTGAACTCTACATCAGACTTTCCTCATGATGCTCAGTCTCAGTTGAACTATATTCCCTTTCCCCAGGGTCTGTCAGCACCTGTCAGCATTATCTTAGCCCAGGGAAGGTAGGACAGAGGAAAGAAGAAAAAGAAAGCAGATCATGACAAAGTATAGTACTAATAAAATCAATTTTCTTATATAGCTGATAAGCAGAGCTGAAAATTCCAAAGGTGACGACATTTCTGACCAGCTGGCTACCTTTGAAAAATACCATTTATATCAAGGACACAGGACTGAGTGTTATTAATGTATTTTACAAACCATGTATCTAACCTATTATCAACTAAAATATACAAGTATAAGATAATTATGCAAAATCTGTGCACAAGAAGTATTCCTGGGACCTAGTCCAGGTATCTTTAGTTCTCTGTAAGTTAAGCCTGAAATTTTTGATACTATGCAAAAGCACAGACACAGATCAAATCATGGAAATATACATTTCTGTTATACTTCACATATTTTAAAGGAAAATACTTCTTAAATAATGACAGGATAACACCAGTAGAGAAGACCAGATGCAGTTCAAGTACAGATGTTCCATTTTCAAACATGTAAAGAACTGTTTTCTAATACCTATGTCTCCTGTGAGAGATATACCACAAACTTTTCTGCCCAAATTTATCAAAATGCCATTAGCAGGAAGCCCTAACTAAGCCCTTCCCCACGTGATTATCAACTTTCCCAAAAAAAGGCTTTTAAATCCAAGACTCTTTTACCTTATTATTTTTCTTCTCTTAGAAAACATACCAAGGGCACCCTTTAATTCTGTCATGCATTTCTCATGACATTAAAAAAATCATATTCTGCATAAAAAGACATGAATTTATTAATTCATTCCCTAATCTTAAATTTAAAGCTTGGGAGGTACTTACTTATTATGCAATCATCTTCCCTTCCCAAACAGACTATCTAAAATGCTAAACAATTTGTAAAAATAAAAATAAAGTCAAAATTAGAAAGAAAAACTTAGAATTTTTTATTATTATTACATATTATTAACGTACCAAATTTTATAAATGGCCTTTAAAATATATACACTTTAGAAAACTCAACACAATTCAATTGGCCATTTAGAGTTGATCAAACAGTTGGCACAGTGTTTTAAGTCATTTTTATTAAATAGTGGACATCAGACCACTGATTTGGGAAATAATCCTCTATTATTAAATTTCTATGAAAATATTAGCTCTGTCAATATATCACTGACTTTTATTATTCTGATTTTCAATCCTTTTGACCACAAAAGACAGTATTTTCATGAAATACTGTCTTTATGTGGCCACGATATAAACAGATGACAGAATAATTCTGTATATATTTTTAAAATAATACTTTGAAATGTAACATTCTTATAAGACAATGGGAAACTTAAAAACAATTATTGATTTTTCTGAAGTAACTATAAGGCTGATTAGAGTCCATGCTTACTTATTCTTGGCCAGTAAACTTTCTAATACATTGTAAGTGTGATTTTAGATCACTGAGAAGACTGTGGACTTGCCAAGATGATATATAGGCTAAACTGAAATCCAAGTAACAAAATATGAGTATTAAAGTATTCTTACTTCAAATTTAATGAACCTTAAAATCACCACATTAAATGTTTTCAGGTATAGTTACAATTCATTTTCTTACTGGTCAGTTGTAATGAGCCCATGTATACAGCTTAGTCTCGCTACAATAGCCAGGAGTAAAATTTTACACATCATATGATTTACTCTTAAATGCCTGGTCACCGTTAGACATGTTAATATGTGATAAGTTCTTTGATTATGTAGACATGATGGTCTACAGACCTTTTACCTAATGAAAGTAGTCTTGGTAAGCAACAAAAAGTATAAGCTAAGCAATCTATTCAGATATTTAAATCACTACAATTTGTAACCTAGACCAATGAGTGGGTCTTAAGTCTTTTCAATTTTAGTTTCATTTGTTTTGGTCACTGACATGTGCTCCGTGTTCATGTATAGGATGGAGCTAAGCCCATTCTATAAAAGCCTAAACAAAAATGAACCCTACCTAGTTCCTTTGGAGTATGTTTTCTCAGAGCAGTCCAGAACCTGAGGTAGTTTTTGAAGCTCTTTCAGGCAGTCTATATAAACTTGTCTCTTATAGTATTCATGTTTATACCACATTTTCTCTGTTGTAAATGAATTATAATTGTTAATTAAAAAGTAAATGCTTTCATTAAAAACAATACCATTCAATTCAGACCCAAGCGTTTCTGCAATGTGCATCTCTTTTTCCAGAGACAAAAAAAACGAGCAGATTTATCAGTCTGTAGGATTCAATTTCTATTAACATAATTCATTTTCTTAATGATTTTTTTAATCAAGTTTATCAATTACATTAGAATAGGCAAATATGAGATGTCTTTTTAAAATCTATTTTCCTCCTTTCAAACAATTAAATTTGTTACCAACCTTCACGAGTGGCATCTGTTCCACAGGTACATTTTCAACTGGGCCATAACATGTATAGCAGTAGAACATTCTTGAACCACCACATTTAAGACATTTTGATCTTCCACTTTGCTGAGCTTTTTGAAGAACTTCTTGAGATGCTAAGCATAAGTTTTGAAGAGGATCTTCCACAGCTATGGAAGTAGTTTGTGATTGTTGTATTTCCACAAATCTTGAATTATTTTCTTCCCTTTCTTTGAGAAATACAGGTGGACTGAGAGACATTTTTCATTCAAACCAAAGTTTAACATCTGTTTCTAAAACACATTCTTATAGGTGCGCTGAAAAAGAAAATAGTGGGGGGGCAAAATAAAAACAAAACATTTTACTCACTGACTCCACAAAGGAAATTACTCAATTTAATTCACAACTGTGTGCTGTTTTCAGTATTTATTAACAGAAGTTAACAAGTTTTTTAAATCACTGAATTAGCATACTTTTTAAATTTAAATTTATTGGAAATACAAAATTAAAATGTATTAAACTCAAAACAATAAATTACCCTTTGGAGCACCCCCCAACACACACACACACACATAAAAATACAAAGGTGCTCTCTTAGAAAAATTATTTCAAATATAAAGTTTAGGTATCAACAATCCATTTTTCAGTGACTTTTTTTGTTCCAAAGACAGCAATTTTTTTATATTAGGATTCTCCTATTATAAAGTTTCATGTTAGTATCAGACAGGAATGTATTCAACCCTATAGGCTCTTTGAACTGATATTACATGACGTCTAATCTTAACCAGAACTCTAATGAAAATATAAGGTTCCAATGTAATCAGTAAAATTTAGTTGTTTATGTTCTAAAAGATATACTCCTCTCCAACTTAAACACACATAAAAAATATAACTAAACATCCTTTAAAATGTGAGATGCATCTACTACCAATTATTATCTATAACATATCCCAAAAGGAAAAATATATACCCTAAAAAATAAAGTGTGATCTTATAAATTTAAAGTTTTATAGAGCCCTGGCCGGTTTGGCTCAGCGGTTAGAGCGTTGGCCTGCAGTCCAGAGACCCGGGTTCGTTCCCGCTAAGGGCATGTACCTCGGTTGCAGTTTGTCCCCGGCCCTGGTTGGGTCATGCGGGTGGCAGCCTCTCGATGTGTCCCTTTCATGTTGATGTTTCTCTCTCTCTCTCTCTCTCTCTCTCTCTCTCCCCCCCTCTCACTCTATCTGAACAAAAAAAAACAAAAAAATGTCCTCGGGTGAGGATAAAAAATAAAATAAAGTTTTATAGAGTAACATTAATGTGCACTAATTCTAAGAGTTCCTACTCCTTTTTTTTTTTTTTTTAGATTTCTTATTAAATTTTAGAGAGAGAAGAAGAAAGAGGGCGAAACATCAATCATAGGCAGTCTCCTGCACATCCCCTGTGGGGGATCAAGCCTGAAACCCAGGTATGTGTCCTGACTGGGAATCAAACCACAACTTTCGGTGCTCAGGACAATGCCCAAGCAATTGAGCCACACCAGCCAGGCACCTACTGCCTTTTTTTAAAAAACACCATTCAGATTCTTAGTTCTGGGGATAAAATAGTAAAATGATTTATCTACTTAAATATTTCCTTCAAAGAACTGTTATTCAAATACTCTGTAAGAACAATATCTTTTAGGTAGAAGAGAGACTGGGGCCCTTTTGATTTGATATGTATTCCAAAGCTGTAAAAGTATTCTCCTAGTATAAAGACTTATGGCATTGTGGTGTTAAAACTATGAGACTCCGGGCACTCTGAGTACAAACACTGACAGGCAAAACATTGACTGCAACAGGAAACTTTCTGTGGTCTCTCAAATAGAAAATGAACAAAAAGTCCAGGAACATAATATACAAGATAAGTTACTAAGAAGTTAGTGATACTAATCTGATTACTCATCAGTGTTTTTTTATAGATTGTACATCCCAGTGAGCTTGAGACCCAAAAGAGAAATGAAAAGAAAAACAATGATATGGTCCTTAAAGAAAAAGTAAAATGTACTTATCAAATCAAAATACTGTATAATAAATTTTTTTGATGTGTACTGATTAGGTACGGATTTACATTTTGGGTTTTTCAGAGAAAGTGATATTTCAGAATGATAGTCTAATCACTTTTTCCTGCCTCACAAATGGAAAACATTATCTACTTTTGACCCCCACACCAAATCACCTACCTAAACATGGCTTTTATCTTTGTGAATATGGCCTCAGTGACTAGAACTGTGCGGGATATTAAGCTGCCTTCTTGAGTCTTAGAACCTTTCAGAAGCACATGAGAGTATTGGACCTTATTTGTAGAAAATGCATTATACAGACACAGTATTTTGCTCACAATTTCAGTGGTGTGCAGATCAGTAGAGTTCATCTACTGACTCATGTAAAGAAATCCAGACTAAGATAAAAAAAACAACTCATTTATTCTAAGGACAGGGGGCAGCCTTAAAAATCTAAGTTTGGGTTTGTCCTGGTTTTGCCTAAGGTACATACAGAGAAACATTTTTAGGATGTAACAGTCTGGAATTACCTTGATCATGGGACTCGTCCTTAAAAAAAAAAAGTGTACTGGACTAATTCATTTCCCTGGATAGTCAATGGAAAACTACTGGTGCATTTTTCTAGGGCTCTCAAAACGCACTCCTCCTGAGATGCCTCAGAAATATCCCCTATAGTTGGGCTTCCATCCATATAACTAAATGGATATTAATGGAACCTGTATATAAATATCATTTCCCTACAAAAATCAGACACAAATACCTGAGAGATAGTGAAAGGGACATGTTTATGGCTTCCTTCCCTGCCTCACCTGCATACTCTCACCTATGGCTGATGTGACCACACAGAAGAGGGCAGCAGTAGTAAGTCATGGGCAGCTACCTCCAAAGGTCTCTCAAACCATATGGCCAGGGCATCTGTTCTGATCTAGTCAAAAGGCTGCCTCAAACGTGTACAAATAATGTGTTGCAAACATGATGATTAAAATCTTCAAAACATACTTGTTAACACCAAATATATGCAGGGAAATACAAGTGGAGTCATGGGAGTTAGAAAACATAAAAAGACTCTATTCCTAAGGAACTAACTGGTACATCCATCATTCTGCAACTTAGATGGAAAACAAATCCTTCTACCCCCCTTTTCCCCCAAAATGAATTACTCACCAAGTTGCATAAATCCTATCTTGCACGCAACCCTATACTTTTAGTCTCAAAGTAGTGACTCTAGATGTTCTATAGCAATGTCTCACATCTCTACTTTTGTGCACTTATTATTGATTCCACATAATTAACATGGAAAAATGTACCTTAACTTGGAGTTACCTTTGAGTGAAGCTATCCACCCTAGCAATCAACTCTGCAAGAGCAGAACTGTTTACTGATCTCATCTATCCCTGTGTCTAATGCAGCAGAAGGAAGTCAACAAATACTAAATCAAAACCATTCTGAAAAAAGAAAAAGCATAGATTGTGCATCTTGCTACGAAAATTCCTGACAAACTAATTTTATGGGACAATTGCAGCCTGGCATAAAAAGCAGCCCAGCAAACCTCTTTTTGCAAAACAATAAGACTCACCTCCCACTAGAACATTATATAAAACCCCCTCCCCCCATCCTCGATTGCAGTTTTTTATAAAACTCACTTCAGACATTTCTTTCCTGGAGTATTTTTAAGAACCTGGTCACATAAAATATACTGATCCCACATCGATTTTTAAAATTCCTAGGTCTCCCCTCTTTCATACAGGATCAAGGGCCCCTCCCAGCCCACTCACCATGTGGTGAGCAGACTGCACTGCCCTAGTTGTACCGGGTACTTGGGGTCTGACAGAAGTAATCCTTCCATGTCGTGGTTTTAGTAGCGATTTTATCACCGACTCCTTGGACTTGGCACCCTAAAGTGTTAATATATTTCCCTATTTGTCCTACACTTCCCCCCTTATAATTTAGACATAAGGAACATGCTCCTTGGCTTATTATGTAACCATTTTCTTAATATTTTAAACACTACAGTGCATGACATACTATGTGCTAAGCTTCTCCTTCCCTGATCACCAACCCCCGCAAACCACTCCAAACACTGAAAAAACAAGGAACAGGCAGGGTACCTAACTTTGCCAGGACAGACTTTCTTTGAGGCGGAAAGCACAGAAAATAACTGTTATGGGGGAAATTTTTTTTGAGGAAAAATCTGGAAGTCTTTTTCCCAAGGGGCCCGCAACAGCCAAAAAAATGCAAGCGCCGCGCGGGGACACCCGGAACGGCCTCTCTCAGGGCTCGGCCGAGGAGCGTCCGCTCCCCGCAGCCGCACGGCTCCCGCCGGGCCACCAGTCCCCGGCAGGCGCGGGGACAGGCCCGAGAGCGCGGAGTGGGACTCAGACCTGCACAGCCCGCGGTCCTCGCACAGCTCCACGCGTCTTCCGCTCCCCGGGAGCCCAAAGCGCGGGCCGGCGGTGCTGGTGCTGGAACGCGACGGAGCGCTTTCTGGGGGACACCGGAGGGAGGAGCCGGGCCGTTGCTAAGGCCGTTGCTAGGGCCCCGCGCGGCGCCGGCCCCGCGGCAAAGGTAACTGGCGGGGAGGGCAGCGGGGAGGCGTTAGACGGAAGTCCCGCCTCAGCCCGTCTAGTCCCCAGCGGTGTCGCCCTTCTGCTGAGAGCCGGCTCCAGGAGCTGGGCCGGGCAGGATCCGCGAGGCCGGCCCACAGCCCGCCGGCCTTGCTGTGAGTTCCCGTCGGAGACTGGCCGGGACCATAGAAGTGGGCCGCGTTCTCGAAATAGATGCTTAAGGTGTAGTTGCAGTGAGTCGCGGAACGGCTGGTCCCACAGAACGCGTTCCCAGTTTCCCAATCCCCAAAGTAGTTCATTCAGTCCTGAGAACCTGGTTCTGTTACCTGTTTACGGCTATGTCAAGATAACTTTGAATTTTGATGATTTGGTTTGCTTAAAAACTCTACACGCATGCGGAGTTGGGACTACTTTGTGCCTCTTTCCAATTTAAAATTAGGCATAATATGTGGATAGATCATTTTTTTCGCCCCAATCCAAAAACAATCCCAATCGAAGGAGTGTGTAACAACTGAGAGTTGGACATACAAGGGCCAGATATTGAGCAGTGTATTCACTGAGTACTATGAATTCAACAAGTGAGAGATAAAGGACAGAACCTTGACCCGGATAAAGTTAATCATGGGCAGTACAGAAACTAATATGACTAATACATTGTAGGAATTTCAAAACAGCTCAGAATGGACTGGCAATGAAGGCTTATTGGTTGGACTTGAGTAAGGCCTAGAAGAATGATTATAGTCTAGAGTAGTAGTTTTCAAGGGGATTATGTGGGGGCCATTAGTGGGGGTCCTATTTATAAGCAAAGAAATCTATTTAGCCAAAACTACACTTAAAAAAAAAAAAAAGAAACAGTATAGTGTGGAAATAGCAGTGAATGGCACTTGGTAAAGTTAAGTATTGCTTTATGGAGTTTTAAATTACATATATGTAAATATGTGTGTGTGTGTATATATATATATATAAAACATACACAATTTTATATTCATATATACTAGGTCATGTTTATGAAATCTATTTCTTATTTTGTGTTTCTCTTCAAAAAGTTTGAAAGCCACTGCTTTATGGGGAAAGATTAACTTGGGTAAGAAAAGTAGCCATAACAGTCTCCAAGTCAAGAATAAATAATTCACACTTTATTCTTTTTTAACTACTTTAGTTCAAGTGCACAGATTACAAAACAGATGATATGATTTATTAATTGAAGTTACTATTGCTATGTAATACATTGCTCCAAAATATGTGGCTTAAAGCAACCATTTTATTATAGTCATGAATTGTGTTCAATAGGGCACAGAGGGACAGCTTTTTCTGCTAACTCAGCTGGGAAGAGTATGAATGCTAGCAGAGCTCCAATGTGTGGCCTCTCCATGTGGCCTAGCTTCCTTACAGTATGGCAGTGTAGTAAGACTCCCTAGAGTAGGCCCAGTGCTCCAAAATCAAATGTTGCAATGGACAAGGCAGAAACTACATGTTCTTTTCTGACCTCAAAAAGTAATGTAGTTTCACTTCTCTCACATTCTTTTGGTTATAAGTCACAAGGCCTGTACAGATTTTAGGAGAGGGGACATAGATGCCGCTTCTCAAAATATCGTCAGAAAATCTGTGGAGATATATATATATATATATATATATATATATATATATTTATTTATTTATTTATTTATTTTAAACCAACACAGTGAATTTACTGCTGTCACAGAAAACCCCAAAATTTCAGTGGTTTAATACAATAAACTTGTATGTCTCACAAGAAATCCATTATGGATGGTTTTAGTTAAATGAAATGTTAGACTCAAGGATGCAGATTTCTTTTTATTTTTAGTGGTTCTGCTATCTCCTGGGACTTGGAGTCCACAGCTTATCTGACAAGAAAGAAAGCATAGTAAATCACACAAAAAGTTTTAGAGATTAGCCCTAAAAATGGCATAAGTCACTTTTCCCACACTTCATTGGCCAGAATTTAGTCCCAAGGCTGTAACTGCAAGGGAGTCTGGAAAATGTAAAGAAACATACACATATTGGTGAGCATTAACAGTTTGTCATATTCTAGATTTTTAACCAAAATCTTGTGGTCACCAGCCTCTCCACTCTATTTTCAGTTCTCTCAAAAGGAAGATTCAAGTCTTTTCAATAATTCTTCTATTATTTACTCCATATTTCAAAATATAATTCTGCAATTTCTTAATTTTTCAATATCAGACATTATTCATTGACTTTCTCCTATGGAAGTCAACAATAAAGCTCTTTTATAACACCATCCCTAAGTGTGTGAACATTTCTTCTCTCCCTACCCCACCCCCAACATACACTCTTTATCCCCTCATCTCTCAATATACTAGTATCACAGTTTTTGTTTAAATCAGCATTTGTAAATATCAGTCAACCCTTATCATGTTAACTTTTAGTAAAACCTTGTACTTTTCTTTGTCTTAATAAATGCTATATTTATATGTACTTGTATGTCCTCAAACACTCTACCAAAGTGATAAAACATCACAATCAAATACATCAGTTAATCTAGAAGATTAATTTTTTTATCCTTCCAAATAGTCCTTCTAGAGCATTACAAACTCTAGTTCATTCAGTATTAGTTGCTTTTACAATCCAACACTGCTCTCCTGTGTTGGATCCCTTGTTTACTTTTTCTTTGTTTAATCTTTTGTTTTTATAAAACATATCCTCCAGTACCTTCCCTAGAAAAGATAAATGGGAGTGTGGTAGACAGCATAATGACCACCCCAAAAGATGTCCACATCCTGATCTCCAGATCCTATGAATGTGTTTTCTTATATGGCAAAGGGAACCTTGCATATGCAATTAAATTAAGGATGTTGAGATGGGGAAATTACCCTGAATTATCTGGGTGGGCCAACCATAATCACAAGCATCCTTATAAAAGGAAGACAAGAGGACAGGGAGGAAGAATATGCTACATTGCTGACTCTCAGGTTGGAGAAAGGAGCTAAGGAATAGAGGAATGAAGACGACTCCTAGAGACTAGAAAAGGTAGGGGAACAGATTCTTCCCTACAGCCTCCAGAAGGAGCATAGCCCTGTAGACCCATTTCAGACCTCCAACTTCCAGAACTGTGAGATAATAAATCTGTGCTGTTTTAAGCAACTATGTGTGTGGTTATTTGTTACAGCAGCAATATGAAACTAATACAGAGAAAAATGGTGATTTTTTTTCTTACTACTTTCAGATCTGAAAAATATCACATATTTAATTGATGATCTGCCTATATTTAAGTTGCTAGGTTGAAATAATTTTCCTGGAATAATCCTCTAAATTCCTATCTTTTGTCCTCTGATTCTTTTTTTTAACTTTCTAATTCTAGTTTCCAGAAGTTTTCTTCAGCTTCTTCTTCACACACAAACATGTTTAATATATAATTTATACCATATATTTGTACCTTTTTAAAAATTCTCTATTACCTTATAATATGCTGTTTTGGTTTCAGGGATCATTACCTTATATCTTTCTAAGAATCTTAAAGACATGTTCCTATTGTCTGTATCCTCTCAGATTTTATTTTTAGTTATTTGTTTGGATATCTATTTTTTGTTTTTATCTCTTTAAAATTTGTATAGTTATTCCTTAAATATCTAATAATCCATGGATTTCTATTAATATTGAAGAATAAGAATTAAAATGATGACAGAAAGCTCAGTGTGCCTGAACAGGGATTGTCAAGCAAATATCTTCATAATAAGATCAGATTGCAGTATTCTCAAACATCTATAGAATAAAAGGCACTAATGAAGATAAGAGCAGAAATCAATAAAATTGAAAACAAATGTGCACTGGAGAAACACAACAAGGCCAAAATTCCTTCTTTGAAAAGATTAATGAAAGTGATAAACCCTTGGATGGACTGACCAAGAAAAAAGAAAAAACCCAAAGTACAAATATTAGGAATCAAAAAGGAAACATCCTGCAGACAGTAAAAACAATAGATGATATTAAGAACAAATATTTATGGCTAAGTATTTGACATTTTTTATTTTTCTTGAAAAACACAATTTGCTAAAACTGATGTAAAAGGAAATAGACTATCTGAATAATCCTATATTAATTTTGAGAAATTGTATTTGTGTTAGTGTGCTCTAGTTGCCATAATAGAATACCACAGACTGAGTGACTTCAACAACAGAAATTTATTTTCTCACAGTTGTGGAGGCCAGAAGTCCAAGATCAAAGTGCTATCAAGGTTGGTTTCTGGTGAGGTCTCTCTTCCTGGTTTGTAGATGGCTGCCTTCTTACTGTGTTCTCACATGGCTTTTGTGCTTTCAGGGAGAGAAAGATCTCTATGGTGTCTCTTCCTCTTCTTATAAGGACAACACTTCTATAGAATTAAGGTTCTACCTTTATGACTTCATTTAACTTTAATATCCTCCCCAAAGGCAACCATGTCCACCTATGCTCACATTGGAGGGTAGGGCTTCAACATAGGAATTGGGTTGGAGGGGAGGAACACAATTAAGTCTACAATCGTTTTCTCAATTTAAAATTTTCCATAACTTCAGATTTAGGTAGCATCACAAGCAAGGTCTATCAAATATTTAAAGAAGAAATAATATTGATCTTTCAGATTTTCAAATTCTTTCAGAGAATAGAAAAAGCAAAAACATTACCCACCTTGTTTTGTTTGTTTGTTTGTTTGTTTTGAGGCCAGAATAAACTTAATTTCAAATCTTAATAAAGGCATTATAATAAAGAAAATTTCAGACCAATATTTCTCATAAACGGTTTGGTGTAGCTTCATCATGATGAATGTTTTGCGTTCCCTTACTTTAAAAGATTGTGTATTCTGCAGTTGTATGTCCTATAAATGTGAATTAAGTTAAGTCGCTTGATAATGTCATTCACATCTTTTATCTCCTTACTGATTTGTGCATATACCTGATTTATCAATTACTCAGAAAGATGTGTTAAGATTTCCAAATATAATTGTGAGTTTGTCAATATTTCCCTTTAGTTTTATCAATTTCTGCAGCATTTATTTTGAAGCTCTTCTATTAGATGCACACATTTAGCACTGGTATGTCTTCTGAATGAATTAACCTTTTATCAATATGAAATAACCTTATTTATGTATGGTAATACTCCTTATCTTGAAGTCTACTTTGTCTGATATTAATATAGACATACCAATTTTCTCATGATTAGTGTTTGCATGGCTCTAAAATTTATATTAGTTTCTTTTTTAAATTTCTGTTTCTCTTGAAATGCCCCATTATTAACTATATAATCCACTGTATATTGTAAATCTTTAACATATTTATAATAGTTGTTTTAAAGTCCTTTTCTGTTAATTACAATAACTGTACTCTCATTGAATTGGTTTGTATTAACTGTTTCATCTTGAATATGGGTCCCATTTTCCTACTTCTGTATATGTTTGATAAATATTTGATTGTGCTTGACATTATGTGGAAAAAAATGTGGAGGCTGATGTTTAATTTAGTTCTGAGAGAACACAAGCCTTTTTCTTACCTTGGCATTTATAATGAGAGGCTGTTCCTTGGAAATCTTCCTAGACTTGAATTGAGCTTTAAGATTGGCTGTCGCTTTCATTAGGTTGAGTTCACCTGTGATTAACCCACCTCCAATGTCCCTCTTCATGTCACCTCTTATATATCATCAGTATTTTGTTGGAACAAGTTTGGACTGAAGTTTTAAATATTTTTGGTTCACCTTTGGAGTTAACTCTGTCAGGGCCTTGGAATCCAAATACTATAAGAATGCATTGGTCTATATAAATTCTCTAACTTCCCAGCCCCTCCTCATGGCTGCTTTTTTTTTGGACAAACTTTAGAAGTAAGGTGTGGGGGTAATTTTTTTTTTTTTTTTTTTTTTTTGCATTTGTGTGTCTTTCAGACTCCAGTTTGTCCCCCCAGCTCACACTGATGCCTAAGGATAAGCTGATTTCTCTTCATTTCTGCAGTTACTGAATTATGGCAGGCCAATGCAGATCTCTCTACTGGGTAAGGAAGCTGCCACAGCTTTATACTTGCTTATAAAGGGCATATATCTCTACGGATTACAGGTCATCAAGGCTTCCAGGTAAGGCAGCTTCATGGACCTGCAGCTGCACAGGGCCCCGTGATTGGAGGGCCCTACACTTGGTTTAATGGTCTGATGTTGCCATCTTAAAATTCTTAATAATTTTTAAACAAGGGATTCTGTATTGTCAGTAATGATATAACTATCCCTGCTTTCTGGCATCCTCCACTCTTTGCTAACCCCACAGAAAGGTAAGATTTTTATTTGTTCCAGGTCATTCATGTTACCATGTAAGCATAGGTGTTTTGCATCCTACATCCTAACAGGAGCCTCACTTCCTTTTAACTGAGAACTTTGGACTTTTATGTTGAAATTAGCTGGAACTCTCCTGCACAAGTTTCACTTCCTTAATTCATTTTCTAATTCCCTTTCATTGAAATATGGGTATTATGAATAGTGCTTTGTACTAGAATTGATTTGTACTAGACAGACATTACAAGAAAAAAGTCACCATTTAAATGGTTTTAATTTGGCTCCTGTATATTCTGTGCAGTTAAAAATAAACTTCTTTCTAGCCAAATTGCTATAATCCCTATCCCTGAAGATGTTATATCAGACCGTTTTTGTCTCTACACACACTGTGTGCCTTCTCTCTTATTCCCTACCCTTCTTAGTCTGACAAAGCCTAGAGTCTCAGGCTTTCCATGAAATTTCTCTGACAGCTCTGTGCATCTTTGTATCTGAACACTTGTTGTCATCTATATCCTTTATTTTTATTACTGTATTATCTGTTTTATATTTATACTTATATTCATCATGTATTTTAATATTAGGAAAGTGAATATTCAACCTCAAATGTGTAGTTATTTTTACAGAACATGGCCTTGTGATTTTGTAATCTTGATCGTTTTATCTATTGATGAGAAATATGTGTTTTAGTAAATTAAGATGTAATCAGTCTTTTTAGCCATGTCATCATCAGACCATTAGGGTACTATAATAGGTTATTCTGAATTTCTCTAATTTTTATCTTTTCACTGTTTTTTCATTCTCTGTAAATGTTAGTTTATTATTATTTTAAAAAATTAAGTACCTATCTATTTCTCTGCTCTTCATCTGCTCACTTAATTTTTAATTAATGCACACTGAAAGTACTTACTATGCACTAGCCATGGGCCAGCCTCTGTATGACATTTTGACAGTTCAGCAGTGATTACACCATAGTTTCTGTCCTTATAAAGCTATAAATCACCTGCTGTCTGTTACCATAGAAAATCTTTTTAGGGGCCAACTTACACTTCCTAGAAAAAATTAGCTTTAATTTAATATTTAATATTAAGAGTTAAATAGGCCAAGAATGGGTTGGAGGGAGAGGGTTTGGGACAGGGAGCCTTCTAAGCAGCAGGAAGAATGTGTACACAGAGCAAGATGTGGTCTCAATTAAAATTAATTTGTCTAATGAAAGGATACGTTTTTAATTTACAAAGAAACTACTAGTGAAAATAGGATTATTATTTTGTACACTGAAACATCCAAATATTTTAAGTACTTTTACCGTGTCACTGGTGTGGCTTTTAAAATACTTCATCAGCAAGAGGAGCATGTGATTATAATTTTGGCTCTGGACTTGTTGTAGACACCATTCAAGAGAGCCCCAAATATCTTGGAACTCTTGTAGGAATTTGAAATGAGGACATTTAGCAGGATTCTTGTGGAGCTCTTCTAAAAGAGCAGTGTATCAGAGGGTAGCCTCTTACAAATTTTTGGTTTGGAGGCACAGAATTTAAACATTGATCTCTTTCACTTTTCAAAGTGCAGGGACTTTACAAAGTGAATATTTTACAACATCTTATGGCTCTGAAAATTATAACAAGTTTGGTATCTTTATTTATTTAAATAAAATATGTATAAGCATTATAATTAATCTGAATTTATGTTAATGAACAATATTGATTCTGCTTTATTAGGAAATGACAGTACCTCCAAAGAACATTGAAGAATTTTTAAAGTTTCAAAATTTGGTGAGTAGAGCATTCTATTTACATGCCAATTACGTCTTTTAAAATATCAGTTATAAAGATGGAAAAAGCATAGGAAAAGACTTTAAGAACAGAAATTCTTATAAGTCCCATTTTCTTTTTTTAATTTCTATTGAATTTACTGGGGTGACATTGGTTAACAAAATTTTATAGGTTTTGTGTGTAAAATTCTATAATACATCATCTGTATATTGTATTATGTGTTCACCACACAAAGTGAAGTCTCCTTCATTACTATTTATTGCCCATTTACCTTCTTCTATCTCCCCCCACTGCCCTTTCCCTCTGGTAATCACCATATTGCTGTCTGTGTCTACGAGGTTGTTTTGGTTTGTTTGTTTAATCCCTTCCCCTTTTTCACCCAGCCCTCCAGCACCCCTCCCTTCTAACAGTGGTCAGTCTGTTCTCTATCTATGAGTCTGTTTCTATTTTGTTTGTTTATTTTATTCATTAGATTCTACATATAAGTGATATCATTTGGTGTTTGTATTTCTCTGCCTGGCTTATTTCACTTAGCACAATATTCTCCAGGTCCATCCATGCTGTTACAAAAGGTATAATTTCCTTCTTTTTCACAGCCAAGTAGTATTCCATTATGTAAATGTGCCACAGCTTATTATCCACTCATGTACTGATGGACACTTGGGCTGTTTCCTAATTATGGCCATTTTAAATAATATGGCAATGAACATGGGAAATACATTTCAATGTGGGAAACACTTACAAATATCTACCCCCTCTCTTTATCTTGTAGCCATTTCTTCTTGTCACTATTCTAGTCTCTTTTTCACTTAAAAAAAATTCTAGTTCAATATGCTATCAGAAATGATATATTTCTATATAATTTTGCTAATATAATATTGTGTCTTATATATTAACATCTTAAAGAATATTTGACAATTACAGTTACTTTCATCATTAATTCATTCACCACAACTGAGGCTCACAGGTAATTTGCAGTTGTGTTGTATGAGCATTCTTTGATGTTGAATCAGAGTAAAATATTTAAAATATATTTTTATGTTGAAAGCTCCAGTTTCCATGTGTATCACTACTAACTTTTGAAGTTATTCGGATTGTGTGGGTTTTCTCTTGAGTTCATGCACTTGTGAATCTGAAGGTCAGGTTTATTTTGCTTTGAGGAATGTCAAGGGCTAAGAAAAAGATATTAGTGTGGAAGGCAGAGAACAGGAGGCTTTTTTAATGAGGTGTGTACATATTTTGAGTAGATTAGGCTTTAATTGCACTTACTTATGCTTAAATATGAACAGAATTTGCTGTGACTAAACTGTTAACAATTGAGTTTCAAAAATATCTATTTTTAAATACCTATTTTCTGTTCTTATATTTGTTTAAATAGTATTTGGTCATTTTTAAATGTTTTGAAAAAGGATTGTGTTTCCTTTAGAAGCAAATGGAAAATGAAAATGTTCCTAGTTTACAAAAGTTTATTTCAATCACTGTGGCAGAACCAGAAATTCTGGACTCCTTTTCAGACAAACTTTTTGCAACTGTTTTAACGTAAATAATTATAATAGCTTTATCACAATGTTTTGGGTCTTTTTTTAATGTCAAGGGAAAAGAGATTATAGTTAAAATTAAGCCGAACTCAGCAAATAATTACAGAGACATTTGAACTATACCATCATACATATTGGAGAACTGATGATATCAGATGACATTTTCTAATTACCTGAAGTGAAAAAGCAGTCATTTTGTTCAAATTAAGAAAAATAGTAATCAAATTAAGATCACAGGTTTATGCCAGCCCTTCACCAAAGATAGAATAAAATCAAACTTAAGGCACCATCCTTGTATGCAAAGGTCAGCCTCTGTATTGATAGCCTTCCACTTTTATCAGATAACATTTGGTAAAACAACATATCCAGTTGTACCATTTTGTCATTTATGGGTTTATCTGTAATTTTTTTCTTATTGTCCAGATTTCCCAACCAAATACACTTGTATTCTATAGTGTTTTTTTTTTAAAGGTTGGACTATGGGATATTTGAAAACATCTAGGAATAAAATGACTGGATATTTAACTTCTTATTTGCTGGACAACACTTTTATTTTATAGACAGAATAAAACTAATAATTTCCTCAAATTTATTTAAAAATAGTTTTGAGCATCTACTGTGTGTCAGGCACATAGATATTTAGAACGTATCAGTGAATCAAAACAGGCAAAGGTCCTTGCCTTCATGAAGATGTTGTTCTTTTTATTTATTTTATTTATTTATTTATCCTCACCTGAGGACATTTTTCCATTTTTTGTTCAGATAGAGTGGGAGAGGGAGAGAGAGAGAGAAAGAGAGAGAGAGAGAAACATCAACGTGAAGGGGACACATCGAGGGGCTGCCACCCGCACGACCAACCAGGGCCGGGGACAAACTGCAACCAAGGTACACGCCCTTAGCGGGAACCGAACCCGGGTCTCTCTGGACCGCAGGTCGACGCTCTAACTGCTGAACCAAACCATCCAGGGCGATGTCGTTCTTTTTAAAATGAGACATATAAACAAACAAGTGAATAAAACAAACGAGAAATTAAAATATATTGTAAACTGCTTATGGCTTCCTGGAAAGTGTATCTCTGTTTAATTTTCTTTTTTCTTTTTTTCTAAAAATATAAAACCAAATCTATGTATTTGCATAGTTGTGTAGTGGCTCTGGTGTCAGATTGCCAGGTTGCCTATGTTCAAATCTTGCTCTGCTACTAATGAGCATTAGAACAGGACCTGGAACCTACATGTTAGCTATTATTCATGACATCCTCTAAAACCCTCTCATTTTGGCCAATTTCCACCATTGCTGTCTTTTATCATTTTAATATTTTATACCTTCTATTCCTCGATCCTCTCTCCCTACCCTTTGTTATAGTGCTGTGTACCTTCTTACCTTCAATCATTTCTCTCCTCATATCTCTATGATCAATTCCCACATTCTCTTCTCGTTTCTCCCCTTCACTTGATCAACATTCTGTTTCCATTTTTGTTTTTATAAAAATATTTTTACATTTTTGATGACATCCTTTTATTCCATTAATGTTGTCTCATTATCAATTCTCATATTCTATTCATTCATTTAATGAATTTTACTTACTATCTGCTATTTGCCAGGTGATGTTCTGGACATTGAAGATACAACAATGAACAAAAAAGAGATACATCCCTGCCCTTAAATTAACACCCTCCTTCTTCTGCCTTACTCTGTACTATCACCATGTTTTATTCCTTTTTAGTTATTTAGGTACTGACGAGTTGGTTTGAATCCTTCCTTAACTATTTATCAGATTTGATCTTCCCTGCTTTTTATTTCTTATTTCTTGCCTTTTTTTTTGCTTTGATGTGATTTCTACCTGGTAATACTTTAATTCATCTTCTCTTAGAGCATCAGTGTCAAATTTTGTTAACAGGCCTGCTAGGTTTGTAATAAAGACTTAGAGGGTACTCAGATCCCTAGTGTGCTTTTTCACAGAAGATCAAAGGTAGTTTATCACTGAGAGGAAAAATATTTCATTTCATTCTCTTTATTCAGGGAATAGTTGTTTTATTGATTTGTTTATTCATTCATCTATCCATCCATTTAAATGACCCATACGTGGCTGTCATTCTAATTTGACCATGTTTGTCCGCAAGGATTGTATCCTGTGATCATACCTTATTCTTCTGAGATCTTTGTATTTTTCAACACTTAGTACCCAGGTGGTTGTGTGCCTTGTTTAAAATATATGTTTGTAGGATTTGGGAGAGTACACTGATGTATCTAAGTAATATTCTTTATTCCAAAATGGCAGAGGGACCTAGATCCCTCTGGGAAAGTTTTCTAACATTAAAAGCTGGGTATTATATAGGCACTTGTTCTCATTAGAGAGCACAATTCATAAATAAAGACATGTATGATGCTTTAGTGGGCTTTTATTTTTTTGGCTTATGAACAACAAATTTATTTCTCACAGTTCTGGAGGCTAGGGAGTACAAGGTCAAGGCACCAACAGATTCAGTGTCTAGTACAAAATCTGCTTCCTGACTCATACACAGAACCTTCTGGCTGTGTCCTCACATTGTAGAAGGGAGGAGCAGGCTCTCTGGAGCCTCTTTTATAAGGCCATTAATACCAACCATGAAGGCTTTATCCTCATGACCTAATCACCTCCCCAAAGCACCACTGCCTAATACCATCACCTTTAGGGTTAGGGTTCCAACATACATATTTTGAGATGACACAAACATTCAGACCATAGCAGAAGGTATCAGTTCTATTGTCTGACAGACATAGGACAAAGAGGGACAACCTGCCTGCCAGGTAAAGGTCATCAGTAAGGACTGTAGCAGAGTGTGCACATCATTAAATTTTAGAGTTGAGTGGGCTTTGATAAGTCTAACTAGTCACCATATTCTCTACCTTGGCCCTAACACTAATCCCTTTAGCATTGGTGGCTTTAATAGGCTTTTAAAGGGAGAAAAAGATAATGGCAGCTAGGTTTTTCACTGTTGAAGATGATAATTATAATATGGAAAGAGAAAAAAACTAGAATGTTTGGAACTGGAATTAGAGAAACCAGTATGAACTCATGGTTTTAAGTACACAGGAAAGACTGAGGAACTAATGACGTATGAAGCAAAACATAATGTGTAATACTGAACTAGATCCTTTTGCTATAAAGTGCCTTATTGGTTCAGTTGATAAAACTTGAATAGAATCCGAGGAATAGATAGAAACCAGTGTGTCAATGCCAGTTTTCTGATTCTGATGGTTAATTTTGGTTATATAGAATAATTTGTTTGTTTTTAGGAAATACATACTAAAATATTCAAGGATGGTGGATAAGCAACTCGTTTCCAAATGATTCAGGACAAAAGTTTTTTATAAGGCATTTGAAACTTCTAAAGTTTATGATTGTTTCAAAATTTTTAAAGAATACATTTAATAAAAAATAATACTGTATAATAAAACCTCAATTTTAGCTCATTGATTTAAGTTATATTTAATAAGTTTTTGGTTTTTTTTGTAGGATTATTGGCCAAGGGAAGTCCTTTTTAGAGATGATGATAAATGGGCATGCATTGTGAATAAGATAAAAGAAGATAGTTCATTTTCTACAATTTATACACATCTGTGGGAAAAGGTCCCTCGAAAATATGATGCAATCATGATCATAGAGTCAAGAATACAGGAATGTTCGATTCTTTTGGAAAAACATGCCTCTAAAATATTTGAGTGGGACAATGTAATTTATGGAACAGGTAAACTTTATTTTTATATGAGTAATGGTCAGTTGTGTGTGTGTGTGTGTCTGCCTGCCTGTCTCTGTGTATTGCTATAAAGAATGAAATCCTAAGGTATAAAATATCTAAAAACATAAAATAAATTTATTTTATTTTAAACCTCTTCATTTCAAAATGGTCCAGTATACCTTGGCCAGTGCGGCTCAGTAGATTGAGTGTTGTCTCATGGACTGAGAGGTCCTGATTTGATTCCCTGTCAGGGTACATGCCCAGATTGAGGGCTTGATCCCCAGTAGGGGGTGCAGAGGAGGCAGCCGATCAGTGTTTCTCTCTCACATCGATGTTTCTATCTCTCCCTAAAAAAACAATAAAATCATAAAACAAACAAAAAATAAAATGATCCAGTACGGATTTTTAGTTGAACATGAACATGTGGATTCATGCTAAGACATAGACTCAGATAGAGTAAACTTTGTTAAACTGGAGTAGAGGTAGCCAAGTATCAGGGAGCAGGGTTGCATCAACTGATACTGGTACCAGAGACAAGAGAGCCAGCAAGGGTCAGGATATGAGAACATAAGTACCTAAAACCCAAAGTAAAAGTGGGTGAGAGTGGATCTACATGAGCTGGGCTCATGTATTTAGTATTCAGTACTGGATAGCTGCAGACTGAGTAAAAAGCATACCTGCTAGTAGTGATAATTTTTACTTCTTTTCAGTATTTGTATAACTTTGTTATTATATAATTAATACTTTCAGAAAAGTTTTTAGATACTAATAGCGATTCTTGTCTTATTTTTTATTTAACAGGCAAACTTGTCATAGATAAGCCTTAAAAATGCTGATATTGGTTATAACTATAAGGTATTTTCTATGCATTAAATAAATTTAGTCATATTATTTAGATATTTAATATTTTTATGGACTTCTATTTTTCAAATTCTGAGATATATATATATATATGTGTGTATATATATATATATATATATAGAGAGAGAGAGAGAGAGAGAGAGAGAGCAAGAGCGCACATATCTAAAAACTAATGTTACGTATATTAATTGTTCTCAATATATAAATACCAGAGCTTGACTCAAGTCTAGGTTAACTGACTTCAGATTCCTTATAGTCTTTCACTGGGCCTTGCTCCAAAGTCATGTACTTCCTTGAATTTAAGATGACCATGAAACCACAATGTAAGTGACTGAGCTATTTGAAAAACATGGGCTTGTTCAGTAAGAAGAGACTGAAGTAAAACTTTATGTATAGGAATAAGTACTATAGACAAAATAGTTGGAGTATGACATTTCTAAAAAACAAAAGGAAACAGAAGATATTATAGTTATTTACTCATTCAACAAGAGTTTCTGTGTCTAGCATTGTGCTTATCAAAATAGCTAGTTGATCCTATTGAATACTTTTATATATTTTTTATTTAAAGTATTTAAATATTTTTCTCTTTTAAAGGAGAGATATATATGTATATACACACAAACAGACATATATGTTGTGAATTCTCATTTTTTTAAAGGTTCTCAAGAAAAAGTGGAAAAATACAAGGCATTTCTAAGGAAGTACCATAAGAAAAAGATGATAACGGTATGGTATTTGTTTTCATCTTTCTTGAAAAATTATATTTCCACAGAAAATATAATTACTGTAATTATATAGATAATTCCATAGATAATTTTTAATTTCCTTTTATTTTTTATCATTTATCTATCTCTTTTTTTTAAATTGATTTTAGAGAGAGAAGAAGGGAGAGGGAGAGAGAGAGAGAAACATTGATGAGAGGGAACAACGATTGGCCGCCTCCTGCATGCTCCCCACTGGGGACCTGGCCCACAACCTGGGCATGTGCCCTGACTTGGAATTGAACCGGTGACCTCTTGGTACATGTGTTGACGCTCAACCACTGAGCCACTGGCTGGGCAATCTCTCTATTTTTTAAAATAGCTGGACTCATATTCTTTTTACACAGAATATTAGATTGTTGGCATTTTCACATCACTAGAAGTGATTTAAAAATTTACTTTAATGTGTATATTTCATTCTCATGTTATTTAATAATTTATATCCTATACTTAGTGCAGTTCTCTCCCATATCGGTTCTCCTTCTCTATAAAAAATTAAGAATTCCTTTTACCAAACAAAGAAGAACTAACACCTACCCTTCTTAAACTATTACAAAAAAACTCAAGAGGAGGGAAGACTGCAAAGCTCATTTTCCAAGGCTAGCATTATCCTAAGTCCAACACCAGATAAGGATACTACAAAGAAAGCAAATTATAAGCCAGTATCCCTGATGAATGTAGATGCAAAAATCCTCAACAAAATATTAGCAAACTGGATCCTGCAATTCATTGAAAAGATCAGGCACTATAATCAAAATGGGCTTTATTCCTGGGTTGGTATAATATCCACAAATCAATAAATGTGTTACTCCACATAAACAAAATGAAGGATAAAAACCACATCATATTAATAGATGCAGAAAAGCATCTGAAAAAATCCAGCACCCATTTATGATAAAAATTCTCAGCAAAGTGGGAATAGGGGAGACATACCTCAACATAATAAAGGCCATATATGACAAACCCACAGCCCATACTCAATGGCAAAAACTAAAATCATTTATCTTAAGATCAGGAACAAGACAGGGATGTCCACTTTTGCCATTCTTATTTAACATAGGACTGGAATTCCTAGCTACAGCAATCAGACAAGAAGAAGAAATAAAAAGCATCCAAATTGGAAAGGAAGAAATAAAACTATCATTATTTGCAGATGACATGATATTGTATATAGAGAACCCTAAAGATTTCACACACACACAAACTACTAGAACTGATAAATGAATTCAGTAAAGTAGCAGGATACAAAACAAATATCCAGAAATCAGTTGCATTTTTACACACCAATAGTGAGCTATCAGAAAGGGAAACTAAGAAAGCAACCCCATTTACAATTGCATAAAAAATAATAATAAAATGCCTTGGAAGAAATTTAACCAAGGACATAAAAGACCTGTACTTAGAAATTATAAGACACTGAAGAAAGAAAGTAAAGATACAAATAAGTGGAAGTATACACCATGTTTATAGATAGGAAGAATTAACCTCATTAAAATATCCATACTACCCAACTCAATTTATAGATTCAACACAATTCTTATCAAAATGCCAATGGCTTAGTTCACATAACTAGAAAAAATATTCCAAAAATGTATATGGAATTATGAAAGACCCCGAATAGCCACAGCAATTTTTAGAGGGAAGACCAAAGTTAGAGGAATCATACTACCTGATATCAAACTATACTACAAGGTCATAATAATCAAATCAGCATGGTACTGGCATAAAAACAGACATATAAATCAATGCAACAGAATAGAGAGCCCAGAAATAAATCCACAGCTTTATGGTCATTTAATATTTGACAAGAACATATCGTGGGGTAAAATAGTTTATTTAATAAATGGTGTTGGGCAAATTAGACAGATACAAGCAAAAAAATAAAACTATACCACCTTCTTACACCACATACAAGAATAAACTCAGGATGGATAAAGACTTAAATGTTAGACTTGAAACCATAAAAATTCTAGAAGAAAACAGGCAATAAAATCTCGGACATTTCTCGGAGCAATATTTTTTTTCTGATATACCTCCGCAGGCAACAGAAACAAAAGAAAAAATAAACAAATGGTGCTACATCAAACAAAAAATTTTTGCTCAGCAAAGGAAACCATCAACAAAGTGAAAAGACAGCCCACAGAATGGGAGGACATATTTTCCAAAGATGAATCTGATAAGGGGTTAATATTCAAAATTTGTAAAGAACTTATACAACTGAATGCCAAAAACACAAACAATCCAATTAAAAATGGGCAATGGACCTTAGAAGACATTTAGACTTTTCTCCAAAGAGGAAATACAGATGGCCAATAGACATGTGAAAAGATGCTCACCATCAGAAATCATCAGAAAAATGCAAATTAAAACCACAATGAGATATCACCTCATACCTGTCAGAATGGCTATCATCAATAAATCAACAAACTCAAGTGTTGGTGAGGATGTGAAGAAAAGGGAACCACTGTGCACTGATGGTGGAAATGCAGACTGTGCAGCCACTATATGGAGTTTCCTCAAAAAATTAAAAATGGAACTACCTTATGACCTAGCAATTTCACATCCAATGATATATCTGAAGAAACCTGAAACACTGATTCAATAGAATGTATGTACCCCTATGTTCATTGCTTCGTTATTTACAATAACCAAGATTTGGGATCAGCCCAAGTGCCCGTCCACAGATGAGGGGATAAAAAAGCATTGGTACATTTACACAATGGAATACTACTCGGCCATAAAAAAGAAGAAAATCTTACCTTTTGCAACAGCATGGATGGACCTGGAGAGTATTATGCTACATGAAATAAGTAAGAGAAAGACAAATATCATATTATTTTACTTATATGTGGAATCTAATGAACAAAGTAAACTAACAAAATAGAAACAGACTCATAGATTCAGAGAACAGGCATTCAGCTGTTAACAGATAGGGGGTTTGGGTGGCTGGGTGAAAAACGTGAAGGGATTAAACAAAACAAAACTCACAGACACAAAAACAATATGGAGATTACTTGAGGAAAAGGAGGGTGGGAGAGATAGAAGAGGGTAAAAGGGCCGTAAGTGGTGACAGAAGGAGACTTGACTGGGTGGTGAACACAATACAGTATACAGATGATATAGAATTGTACACCTGAAACCTATACAATTTTATTAACCAAATGACCCCAATAAATTTAATAAAAATTTTAAAAAGAAAAAATTAAGAATTCTTTGTATTACTGTTAGGATTACTTTGTCAATTAAAAAAATCTCAATGAGATTTTTATTAGAATTATAATCATTTTTTAGTTACTATTAGAAACATTTTCAAAAATACACTTAAAATTATATAATGTTAAAGCTATAAATATTTTAAGTGCCACCACTAGTCTGTCCACCTCAGTAAATGTTAATTTTTAAATTTCAAAATTACTTTTATTTTTTCCTGATTATAACTAACATAGTCCTTTTCAAAAATTAAAAGAAATAGATAAGCACTAAAAGGTAAGAATTCTAATTCTATTATTTATAGATAAATTACATATATTTCACTATTTGTCACTTTTATTTTCCTTTAAAAATTTAGAAAAATTTGATTGAATTATATACTCATAATGAAGTAAATGTATTATGGAATTTTTTATCAACAAATATTTTTCTACACCATTTTAAAAATTAATGAATGTATTAGCCCTTTATTTCTATTCTCAGGTTACTGTTCAATATTCATTATTATTTACAAAATTGCTGTGAATATATTTAGAGCTAACGACTGCTTACCCATGAGTAGTTTCTTTCTTTTTTTTTTTTTTTTACTGTGAATTTTTTTTTTATTAATTTTTGTTACAAATGATTCTCCTTTTTTCCCCCCACTGATTCCCTCCTCCCCCTTCCCTCCCTGCTCCTTCCCCAGATTGTTGTCCATGTCCACTGTTCATGCATACATGCATATAAGTTCTATGGTTCATCCCTCTCTCACCTCCCCACTCCTTAGGGGATTGTCCTCAAACTGTTATGTTCATTATATTCCACAAATCAGTGAGATCATATGAAATTTGTCTTTCTCTGTTTGGCTTGTTTCACTTAGGATGATACTTTCCAGGTCCCTCCATGTAGTCTCAAAGGATAAGAGATCTTTCTTTCTTACCGCTGCGTAGTACTCCATTGTGTATATGTACCACAGCTTTTTAATCCATTCGTCTACTGATGGGCACTTGGGCTGTTTCCAGATCTTAGCGATTGTAAATATTGCTGCTACAAACATGGGGGTACATATATTCTTTCTGATTGGTGTTTTATGCTTCGTAGGGTATATTCCTAGAAGTGGGATCACTGGGTCAAATGGGAGATCAATTTTTAATTTTTTGAGGTGACACTATATTGTTTTCCATAGTGGCTGCACCAGTCTGCATTCCCACCAACAGTGTACTAGAGTCCCCTTTTCTCCACACCCTCGCCAACACTTGTTGTTTGATGATTTGTTGATGGCGGCCATTCTGACAGGTGTGAGGTGATACCTCATTGTTGTTTTGATTTGCATCTCTCTGATGATTAGTGATGATGAACATTTCTTCATATGTCTCTTAGGCATTTGTATGTCCTGTTTGGAGAGGTGTCTATTTAGTTCCTCTGCCCATTTTTTAATTGGATTCTTTGTCTTCCTTTTGTGGAGTTGTATGAGCACTCTATATGTATTGGAAATTAACCCCTTATCTGATATATCATTGGCAATTATGCTCTCCCATACAGTGGGTAGCCTTTCCGTTTTGATGATTGTATCTTTCGCTGTGCAGAACCTTTGAGTTTGATGTAGTCCCATGTGTTCATTTTCTCCTTTGTTTCTATTGCCTTAGGTGATGTGTCAGTAAAAATTCTGCTGCGTATGATGTCTGAGATTTTGTTGCCCACAGTCTCCTCTAGGATTTTTATGGATTCATGAGTTACATTTAAGTCTTTTATCCATTTTGAGTTTATTTTGGTGTA